CAAAATTACAAAAACGAAGTGCTTTGTTTTGAGAAATAATGAACAATATTTTATTGCATACCGGTGCCATGAAATGTTTGTTTTTCTTGCACTATTTTTGCATCCATGTACAACACAAGATTGCGGCATTTTTTGCAATACAAGTATTCAAATAAGACTTCGCAACAAATGTTTTTGTATTTATTGTAATGTCTATAAACACGCAATTGTGGTGGTCAAATCCGAGGGGCGAAAGTTTTCATTTCATGAGCCCGCGTCTCTCCGCTGACTTTGACCACCAAAATCCGCCATGTTTTGACCACGAGGCCCAGGCCCTTTGCCCCTCCAGGTCTTATAGAGCTCAATGATCACAACGATGATCTATCTCACCCAGACACCACGCTTGACTATGTTAGCTCAGAAGGCTATCAGTCGAAATCGGTCAAACCAATCACAATAAAACAAAAATTCAAATGAGCCAATTGTAAGATAGCAATTGGACTCCTTATAGGTCCGGCCAACTCATTATCGGTCGAGATTATTCCAGACTGTCCACTGATCTGGACATTGACCAATAAAATAGCGTTTCTGGCGTTCATAGACTCCTTTATATGTCGAACCAGTCAAGCCACCCCGCTTATCAGTCGGTTATTCCAGGTCAATTAAAATTCAACTGATCTGGTTACCAAGGAGATATTCATTGGATTAGTCATTAGTTTTCAATAATAAATAAAGCTGGATTTTCATCACGAAGTAAATGCGATATTAAAGTAAGAATATTAATGAATTTTAATTAATATGAATAGGTAATTTTGAATTTCAAACATCAGTCGCGCGACGGATTTGACATACTGATCCGCCCTCAAAGCGACAACATAAAAGCATGCATGTAAGTACATCAGTACTCAAATAAACCATTGATAAAACAAAGAAATTAATTCGTTCAGTCCTGACATTCTGACTCTTATGAATGCGGAAAATACGTATCGGAATACAAAGGGTTTATAGCATTTCATAGCTTTGATGCTGAATTTACGTTATTCGAACAAGAAAATTTATATCATACCTATGGATTTTCACACCAACATACCATGCATAGAAGAAAAGATATGACATAAGCTTTAAATATAAGATACTGTTCATACGTTCATACGTAATGGGAAGAACTGGTCAAATAATATTTTCAATACAGTTAGCCGCTCCAGTTATTATAGAACCAATGTTCGTGCCCCTCCAGAGCACGAGTAATTAAGATCGTTGTTTGAACAAAGCTTCTAATACACGTCGAGAAACTGCAGTGAATTATACATCGTAACTGAATGAATTCAGGCATCGGTTAAATTCGGTTAAATGTTGCCATTTTTAAAAGGAGAAGTATTCTTTCAAAATTGAGAAATTGCAACAACCAGAAGTAAAAACTAAGGAGGAATTAAGGTCATTGGAACTTGCTGAAATTGAAAACCATATTCAGCTGTCATAAAAAACAAATATTATGATGATCATAAAGATTTTACTGTTGACAGCCGTCAAAATAATAGTCAGCGCTATAAATACAAGCACGAAAATCCCCAGTAAACATAGCTTCTGGTGATTGGCAGTTCACAAGTTCGTAAAAGCTCTTACATTTTAAGAAATTTCAGCATTTAAAAGTCATTTACACTGGGAAAAATTCAACAAATTCTTTCAGTTACGGAGGATTCACAAAGCTTGACGTGATTAGTTAATTGAAAAATCACCTGGTGTGGTTGGTCAATTAAAATAGGAATAGAGGAAGTTAGGAGTTCTTCAAAGAGCTTGTTGAGGAACTCTTTAGATCAATTTATGAAAGTGAGCTATTTTTTGATGAAATACTTTCAAAACGCTTCTACTGTCGCGACTAAGACCACAATGCACATGTATCGTCGGCCTTTTGACGTCATTACGCATAAGGTCTATTGTTAACAACCAGATATGATGGATGTAACCACGCTTTCCGGAAAAAGTGGAACAATTATAGATATGTTTTCAACAAGTTTGTTTGTTTATCATTCCATCAACGTTTTCTCACCTTTAAAACTCATTATTTGTTGATTTTGAAATTTTTATGGATTTATTTAGTTGTGCCTTTGAGCTTTTCACAAGGTTCAAATCTTGGTATTTGGTTAGTGACCATTTCATCACCATTTTATTGTGAGACGTAAGGAAACTTGTTGTGTCTAATGGGGTCAATATTAGTTGGAAACACAAATAGTAAAATATATTGGACCACGACCACCCAGACTATACGGAATACCAAACTTCACAAACCACAAATAAACCCATGCGACCAATTGTATCATTCTGTGGTTCGCCTATTTACGAACGTTCAAAAGTACTTGACTGACATACTGCAACCACTTACAAACAAATCAAAACACAAGCTACAATCTACTGAACTTCATTAAAAACTGAGCACTATACAAATACCGGACAACCATATTATAAGTCTTTTGATGTGAAAACACTGTTCACCAGTATTCCACTTTAATCTAGCAATTACTTGTACAAAAACCCTCATTACAAACACACGGAAGTACTGCCATTACCGACAGAAGATTATGGAGCTACTGGAGCTCTGCCTCACCTCGACTTACTTCCAGTACAAAGGTACACACTACAAAGAATTACATGAACAGCATGGGCTCACCGTTACTGTTGTAGTTGCTGAAATTGTAATGCAATCTATAGAGGAACAGGCGCTCACGACTTACAAACATACACTATCTTTTGGTTTCGCTACGTAGATGACACATTATAGCACTACATGCAGACGAGATTGATGACTTTCTACACTCACATCAACAAACAGAACAGCCACATACATTTAATTTCAAAGATGTCGAAGAAAACGAACCTTCCTTTCGACTGTTTGGTAAAAACATGACAATCAAAAACTACGAACAACAGTTTATCGCAAGCCAACACATACTGACCGACTGTTATATCATCTTACAACCCACATCACACAAAGCTACCACAATCAGAACATTAACAAGACGTACACAAATCATATGACTCAACCGAACGCCTACACACAACGAAAACAACTATCTCAAACGTGTTTTGACAAAAACAACTATAACTCTGACTTTATTAAACGTAACACTTACAAACCCAACGAACCAACAACAAAACGAACAACTCAGTGACAACAGCAACGATACCTTACACATCAAAGGTACGTCTGAGACTATCCCGCGTATCTTACGACCATACAACATATGCAATGTAAATAAACCAATCACAGCGTTACGACAAGTACTAACAAACATAAAGGACAAAGAACAACCCAACGAACGACAAGGTGCAGTTTACAAAATAAACTGTCTGACTGCCACGCCTCCTATATCGGGGAAACTGCAGGAATTAAACATAACAGTTACTGAACACAAATGAGCCACTAAGAAACAAGACAAAACTAATCACATTGCCGAACATCACCGAATCACAAAGCACAACATTGACTGGGACTTGGCAAAATGCATTACTTCATAGTACTGACTATAGACAACGGCTTACATTAGAAAAGTATACCAACTTGGAACAAACCCCTGAACAGATCACAGCAATTACTGACACCTTTACAAACGACTTATTCACAATACAAACAAACGATCAACAAAAACATTACACCTTACACTAATTCACAATGACAATACACAAATTGACACCCATACATTACAACTAAAAACATCACACCTAAATCACACATCACAACTACAAATAAAAATATTTCACTTCGCACTAATTCACAATGACAATACACATTTCCTAAAATAATAATACAATAACGTAAGAACCAGATAACAAATACGGCTAACCTGACGTTTACTCCTCATTTGTTCTCTAAAGATGATACCGCTAGGTTGTTTCGAAACGTCAGTCAACAACAATAAAACAGTCCTTCTCAGGACTATATCAACTGGACGATTCATTTACAAACATGTAATCTTGCATATTATATACAAAGATATATTCTCTTCAGTACACCTTATATCAGCTACTATACTGGTTCTTATATATTTCTGAAACAAATTTGAGCTGTGAAAGGAATCAAAACGCTTCTTCAATTTAAGATACCAACTTTCATTCAAATAATTTTATCATGTACTTTAAAAAGTATAAATTCTCTCATTCTTTTTATGAATAGCTAATCCACTTTGAAGTTGTTTATTCATTTGGACGTTAAATGTCGATTTAACCATTTAGGAGGGAATTCAAAAGTTTGTTTTTATTTTGTTTGGTGATTGTTGCAAATCGGCTACACTGGCACTTAAAGGTTGATTTTATATTGCTTCTTGAAAAAACTGAACGACTGATAAATTATAGTGTTGTTGTTAAAACTAATTGAAAACATCGACGATTTTATTTTTTAAAGGGGAGCTAAAAATTTTAGAATTGGGGTGGCTGCTAAGAAAGTAACGTTAAACAAAGTGATTGATTTTAGAAGTTAGGTTGTAAAACGAAGGTAATGTAGGTTGAAACATTGCCAAAAAGTAAGTTCAATTGTACTACTATTTCTTAAGTAAAATATCAGGTGTTAATGTGTTTCTTCTGTAGGAGAGATCTGATGTTTGGAGGATGCCATTCATTTGCACTCCCTTAGAAAATCTGCTTTACGTTCAACGCCTGCTCCCCAAAAATGTTGCTGCTCACCCAAATTTTGGATCCCATATATGTAGTAGGAGCAAAATTTTTTTTTGTTCAACAGTATAAAGGGTTATTATTAACAAGTAAATAGCTTTCAACTTAAAAGAAACACATAAAAACCTGTTAGAGTCTTTTTACAAAAACTGTGAAAGTCAAACCTTGAGCAACAGATAACTTTGCATTTAAAAGTGCGACAAAGACACGCGTGAATTCAAGTTTCAATGCAATTATTTGTTTTTCTCTGTAATTGAAAATACAATTGATTTGTAGAAACAACTATCCAGACTTTATCAGCAATACTTTTCTAAAAGTAGCCATTTTTGCCGAAAATGTATTTCATTTGTACGGAATGGTTGCTTTTCGTTAGTTGAATTATTTTGTCAATATTAAAACTGATTTTCTTTGAATCATGGTTATCTATATTTATAACAAAATATTTTTTATAAATACAAGCAGTCTGTATCGCAAAATGAAATAGAACACAAATTTCATATATCTAGTGTAAATAAGATTATTTCCAAAGCATGCAAACATTCATGTTAAATATTCTCTTATAAAGTCTGCTCTTGTCTATTTAACTATCATTTTACAAATCAAACCTGAAGGTTTTCTTCAATCACTTTCCTCATCTTCTGCAATCACTGAAAGTTTTACGTATCATAAAAGATCAGTGCATAGAGAACCCTTTTCCACGATGCCATTGGTCATGTTAAGTTAAGCGGACCTCGCATCCTTCAGGTAGCTTGCACTCATAATGATAAAATTACAGCATAAAGTGTTCGAGCAACACACTCCATTTTACGTTGGACAACACATAACCAGTAAACTTCAAGATGCCATTTCTTTAGTAGGATGAAGCACGTTTGTTTGTTTTTGCATACAGTATTTTCCGAAATCTTCCACAATATATGTCCTCTATACTCTGAAACAATTTTGTACATAAATTATAAATGACATAATTTTTAAAAATCTACTTCAGTTTGTATACATGTCAATATACTTCAAAAATGTAATACCCAGTTAAATAAGTATTACAGCAAAACTATGAGAAACGTTTTCTTATCCTCAGTAAACGTTGATTTTAGACAACCATTTTTAACAACAAAGTGTGATTATTTTAAAATTGTTTTAAAAGCAGTTTAATGAGACAAGTTATTAACAGGGGCGGATCTAGAGTATGTCAAATCCGTCGCGCGACTGATGTTTGAAATTCAAAAATTACCTATTCATATTAATTAAAAATTCATTAATTATTCTTATTTTCTTATCGCATTTACTTCGTGATAAAAATCCAGCATTATTTATTATTGAAAACTAATGACTAATCCAATGAATATCTCGTTGGTAACCAGATCAGTTGAATTTTAATTGACCTGGAATAACCGACTGATAAGCGGGGTGGCTTGACTGGTTCGACGGATAAAGGAGTCTATGAACGTCAAAAACGCTTATTTTATTGGTCAATAGCCAGATCAGTGGACAGTCTGGAATGGTCTCGACTGATAATAAGGGTGGCCGGACGTATAAGGGAGTCCAATTGCTATCTTACAATTGGTTCATTTGAATTTTGCTTTATTGTGATTGGTTTGACGGATTTCGACTGATAGCCAACTGAACTAACATAGTCAAGCTCACTGTCTGAATTGAATGTTTGATCGTTTTCAGTAATTTTATAAGCATGATAGAAACTAAACTACAATCAGATGGAATTTATGGAAATCTTTACAAATTCATATTGACATGAATGCTGCTGTCCAAACTGTGAATTTTTCAAGAGGGTGAAAATTTATGGATAAATTGTAAATGCTTGGCAAAGACGATCTCGCGAGCGACATCTCAGTCATTGATGTTCAAAAGAAAGCCAACATTGTTTTGAGTTTTATCAGCAGAAATTTACATCTAAAATCGTAAGTAAAGGACAAGTAAAGTGTATGCATGAATGTAATAGATCAAAGTCAATTTATGCGAGTGTGTAATGCGATTTATGTCAATATGGCGTATGGTAAGCAGATTGATGCTTCTAAAATTGTTGTTGCCGAAGGACTTTTAACTATGATTTCTTTAGTGCTTGGGGAATCGGCCGTTATATGGCAGCGAAATCCTACATTCCTGCAAATATATTTCAATGGACAAAAATCTGTAGCCATAAGGCGCCATACTATTATTTACTTTATCATAAACAAATGTTTGGGGTTTTCAGTTTATGATCATTGATCATTCAATCATTGGACAGTTATACTACATATTGTTTAAGATTTGAGAAAACTAACATTGATTACATGAGAAGCTGTTTACTATAACCTGTGATTTTGAGTCTTCTGATCCATGAAGCTTTTATTTTGACAATTTGACTGGAATGGTATTAAACCTGAGTATTTCACATACATGGAATGTTGTCCCATGTCACATATTGTCCCCTTTTCTAACTGAACACCTCATGTAGAGATGTAAAGTGTGTTAATCTACGGCTCATACCAGATTGTTTGCCATAAATTCCAAAGGGCTATTGATGTATGAAAAGCATTTTCTATAAAGTAAAAATGTCTTTCTATGTATGCAGATAAACCTTGAAATTTGGCAAAACAGCAAAGTATTTTTCATGATCACTAGGTAATTTTTCTGATGATCATTATAATTTCTAAACTAAATTATTTCTGATTTACATTTAAACAAGCTTTGATCATATGAAAAGATATTTATCATAACCAGTAAGCATGACACATGAACCAATTTTAACATTCATGTAATTATATAATTAAAGACATGTTGGTTACATTCTGTTTGTATTTGCAAATACAATGCTACTAGTGATTGCTATATAGCACACCTTGCATATACTTACAGGAGATAATAGTCTAGTGAAATGCCTAATAAACATTTATGGCATTAAGCTGTCCTTAACTGCAAATTTTCACTCTGATAATTTTGCTTAACCTTGGCAGAAAAAATTTTGAGTTTTTCTCAAAAGGTGAATTTGCTGGCACTGATGTGGAGATGGGTAAAGGGTTACAATAAACTTGCATGGTTTGAAGTCTGAGCTTTCTATATCTATGAACTGTCACTTGTAGTACCAAATTTCTAACTTAACTAAACTCATTACATAGAGGTTTGAAGGGGTCTCTAGGGGGTCTATGCCTGACAACTTGGTAGAAATGTTTAAAGACTATATCTTTTGAATAGCATTATTGTAAAATAAATTTTACGTTCCTAGACATGCTAATGAGCCATATATTTGGCATGATAATGAGCCTAAATATTTGGCAAAACATTCAAGTATTGTTCACTTCATTTAGTTTTGAAAAAACGTAAGCAAAATGTGTTATTTTTAGGCAAAAACGATGCCCACAAATACATTTTGTATTGCTCTAAAACGCTGAAAATGGCATTTTCAAGGCTCTGAAATTCAAAATTTCTCAGGGGAGAATGCCTCAGACCCCCCCAGGTGCGGAGCGCCTCGACGTTTTATGACTGATGTTTGAAAATCCTAGATCCGCCCCTGGTTATTAACACTATCTACCATGCTTGCTCATTACAAACAAGTACTGCTCACTGGTACTGTGGAGTATATTTCCTAAAATATTTTATTCTTATCATATAATACTTGTATCATATAATATTATTTCAAAGACAAAATGTTAAATTGTGATAACCTTATTGACGTTGTACACAATAATAACTGCACTTGAAGCCCAGTCAAACTCATGTAAAGATGTAGCTCGCGCGAAAAAGGGTAAAGTTAACCTTCTAGAGCCGGAAATTTTCAAAGTTTGTACACACTTATTCGTGATTGTTGCCTGTTGGCAACAACGGCCTCTAGAGGGTTAAAGGACTTGATACTTTGAACACGTGATTTTATTGTGACATTTTATGAACAAATTACTTGTTATTTGTCAGAAAGAGTTGTTTTACAATACTTGGAAAAGAATTTCTCATGATTATAGACGAATATTTTGACTGAAAAGTTTTAATCATCATAACTTCATGCCTGTTTCTGAGGTGATAATACAATGTTCATGTTTCAAACAAAACAACAATAACGTAGGATTACCTCTATATCTGCTTCTTGTGATATTGAATTTCCACTACTTTCAATGCTTGGTAATACTCCATTGTGACTGATTTTTGAAAATTAGATGACTCAGCACAATGAATAAAATTTTCATGTCTGAAGAAAAATGATAAGATGCAGCAGCCTGTATTGAATGAGAGTGTCAAAATGAATTGCATACCACTAATTTTAAACTTAAAATACTTGTACAGTAACATTTTGGTCATCATAAATTTCAAACAAATAAAATCTAACACCTTAATGGACCTGTTGTAATTAATTCTTTTTGTCGTAAAGTATTCGCCAATACAGATGTATTTTTCTTATGACATGTAAAGTCATAATTTTATTCTTTATCTCTAACAGTCTATAACTGGATTTCACCAAATAAACACATCCAGTCATGTACAATATTTGTTTGTAGAAAGCATTTATTACACCTGTATTGAGTTGTTTACTGTCTTATTAAACACCTTTGTTTACACTTTCAGCATTCACAACAATGTAAAATCACCTTCTTTTTTAGCTCTTGAATGAAGTCTTTTCAGGTCTGCAATTGTATTTATTGACTTTGCTGTCCTTAGTAAAGCTCTTGTGTGATGATGTTTACCGTGTTACTGTATGATTGGTATGAAAGTGAGAATGGAACTCAAACCATATGAACCTCATATGAACATCAAACGACTTGCATGTGCTGATTAGCGTAGACAGATTAGGTTAGTTCTATACTGTCGCAAGACCAACATGAAAATTGTGCAAGCAAAAATTATTTGATAGAGTTATAAAACCCTGACACAGCAAAACAACAAACAATAAACTGGCCTGATAGCATTATAGTTCATTGTCATTTTGATTTCATGTGAATCCACATCGAGAAAATTATCAATATATTTAAGACTCGTGTGAAAATACATCATTTGCTTTCTTTTTCGTTTTTCAGCAAAACACGCACTGTGTCCATAGTGTACATAACTAGACTAAATACAAGTACGGCGCAATATGTTTCACGTATAATGAGACCAAACAACACATATATGATATATCATGTTTGCGATGGCTTTGCGATGCTAATAATTCTTTCGAATCTTGGCTTATTTAGTTTTAAACATTGTCAGTACAAACAAAAGAGGGTATTATACAATTATACGCGCAAACAAAACGATTTTAGAAATTTATATTGTTAATGCTACATCTGATTACAGAGATCAATTTATTAAATATTCATGCCATTCAGTCTGGCAGACCTAAATAAGGTATATTCTTAAAAAAAGTTCATCCACGCAAAAATTGTCGAACATGATCAGGTATTTGATAATTGTACATTTGGTATTCTCCCTATTTGTATTCTTGCAATTTTTGTTGTTGTAACAAAAGTTGTTTTTTGTCATAAATAAACCTTTTGACCTTTGTTAAATCAACGGAAAACACGAAATTAAACGAAGGGATAAGGCCTAAACTAGAATGCTAATTTGGGCATTGGGTATGGAAAACTTGAATAATTCAGATCTACCCAACTGAACTGAATTCGTCCTGCCAACCTATGATCTTCAGCAACCATACACCCAGTTGGTTATAAGGTGTTATACATGACGGCGCACAAAAGATCCAAAAAATCCCTTTAGATTAGTAGTCTTTCTTCCATGGAAGGGCATAGGAAGGGCATAAGAAGGGCACTATGTCCCACACGTTGCATAAATATATAGTCAAGAGAGTAGCCCACGTTGAAACATAACAAAAGATTGAATATTACAAGGAGTACTCGTGATGAGCAGATGGAACTTATGCCGATTGCATAATACATTTTGATGCATTATATTATGCCTTTTTCTCTAGATAACAAGGAAATTTTTCACACCGAATAAGCACGGCAGAAAAGTAACGATGATGAAATTGCTTACATGTCTAGTAAATATCCAAATAAAAGCAAGCATACATGTAGTGATAAATAGGCTGAACTGACAGGATGTAATAGAAGAGCTAGCATCCATGCTGTGATAATAGGCTGAATTAAAAGATGCATGAACTGATTACAAGATGAAATGATAATGGCGAATACCCAAGAATGGTAAAATTCACTTGTGCTTGCTGCTACCCTCTTCTGTTTTTGAATTTAGAAAGTTCCATGTATTAAGCATACAAAACATGCAACTCTTATGGGCTGTTTTTAATCTCTGACATCAGGAAATGTATATAGAGATTTGGCGTCACACTCATTCTCGATTAGATGCTTTCAAGGACTTTGAAAGAAATTAAAGAAATATTTGCTGATATTATTGATATCTCAGAATTTGATGAGCTAAGGGAAGAGTAGAATTTGAACCTACTCATCTTGATCTTGTCTTATACTCAGTAGCGAAGCCAGCGCGTATTTTTACCCATACAATGCAAATATTTTAGTTATTAATCACTCCAAAAACTATGAATGAAATTAATTTTCTAAAGAAATGAATAATAACTTTGTAGGAGTTAAAGATCAAGTTTGCTTCGTTATTGCTCATACCCTGCATGGTTAATGGATGATTTGTCCTTTTGCTCGAAATGCTACGTAAATTCATGGAGAACTTCTGCTGAATCTTCAAGGTCTTATTCATCTTCAAACTGTTTTAAATATGGAGTCCTTGTTTGCCGACCCATAACAGAATATAATTGATTTGCTCTTCCCTTCAACTTCTCTAAGTATACTTTTAAAACGTCAATTTCTGTTTTGATTTGCCAAAAGCCAAGATGGCGTCGTTAATTTCTCAATCCATTTTTGGTGCTGTTCACGGTTCACCTGTTGCCATTTCTGAAAGTTTATGTCTGAACGGTTCTTCTACAAATCCTTTCTTTAGTTCTGCTATCAAAGTTAAGGAATCTCTTGATTTTATCCAACTAATACGTTATTTGTTTGATCTCACGATATAAAAGTTCGTGTAAATGATATAACTAACCAGAATGGACTCTTCTTTGAAGTTTTCGGTCACGCAAGCACTTGACGGGAGTACTGCTATGTTCCTTGATAGTAAAGTGATAGAATTTGACTTTGAGAAAAATAGTGAAAACTAGATTACAAAGGTTGAAAAATCTTTTAATGGAATATAACTGGACTATTGTTGCCACTTTTATCATGCAGTACTCAAAAGAGAAAGTAACATAGGGTAATAAATCATGAACAAATACGATTTCAAACTGCTGCTTTGTGAAATTCATAAAGAAGATTAACAATGTTTAGTGTCTTTGTTTAAAAAAGACATTGCTAATTTATTTCATTGTTGCTCAACTATTTTTGATTCATGCTTGTGAGTATGTGTTTAACTTAATAGGGATTTACAATTACAATTAAATACAAAAGTTTCTGTTATTGTGTAAAAAGAACGAAAAAGAAATGCAACGTTCACTATTCCTGGAAATCATCAAATACTTTTTTACAATAGGTGGCGTTATTTCTTAAGGAGTCAAAGGCCAAAGAGATTTCACCATGTTGGTTGAAATTTGAATTGTAAACGGAAAAAATCCTTTGTTAAATTCAACTTTAACCGATATAGCAGGCAATTCACCTATTGTCACGAAAAACATAAAAAATGGACTTGTTACCTTACTATTTTCAAATACTGATGAAAGCCACATGGAATTTTAACTTAAGATGTGCTGTTTTGTATGTTATAGTGGCATTTCATTTCAAGCGTTCAATTACATTTCGTCCGTCACCAAAAGTTAATCACTTTAACAAATTAAGAAGCTTAGTTAGAATCATTTCTATTGTTTATTTTAAGTAAATGATAAGTCATAACTTATCTGTAACTTTCTTAAGACAACTTGATAAAGATGACTAACACCTACGACTTAACCACCGAATACACTTCCAAATAAAAGGCAGTTGAATTGTATCGTAAAATGAGATTTTAAGTTAAAAGTGTCGACAAAGTAAAATTTTAGTGCTTCTTTTATATAGTCATAAAAGTGGCAAAGATAGTCCAGTAAAATTCCATAAGAAGCATTTTTAACTTTCATAATGTAGTTTTTGCCATGTTCTTTACAGTAAAATTCCATCAATTTACAACCGAAGAATATGGCGGCGCTCCCTTTTAGCAAATATCCGAGCAACAAAGAACTTCAAAGGAGTGTCTCGTCTGGTTAGTTTCATATTCTGTGACCATGTTCTGCCTCACTATCTTCTTTTATTGAGTATTTAAACTGAAACAGCGTGTTCTATCTATGTAAAACAAACTGCAATGTCTAACTGGTCGACTAATCACGTGACTCTACTTTCCTAAATTGAAAAAATTAACTTCAAAATATGGATGGAAAAAGCAAGTGACCCATCCTGAAATATTTTCTTAATTGGATTATCTCATCTAATTTAATCCAATCAAAATTTATCAAGTCTGAAATGGTTTTGCAGGATTTCAGACTTTTAAATAGAATGCTCTTAGCTATTGCATACAGCTATACGTTGGATACTCGGAAGTCAAAAAAAGCACAAACAAGCACAAATATCAATTTTCATAAATAGCGGTTGTGTCACATTCAGCTAAATTTTATGCTTACGATGGATAAACGTTTGAGATTTCTTTTTACCTACACAACTAAGAAATTCGAAGATTGAACAGCTTAAATTTGACGTGTATAGGAAATGATTTCGAATCTTGTTTAATGTTTTGAGAAGACAAAAAAAAATGACTTATAAAAGTAATCACTGAAAGTAAAATCATTCCACAAAATTGTGTTTTATAAATGATTTTCTGTTCAGCCAAAGTTGAAAGGCATGTTTACTAATTGCAAAACACGTAGATCTATCGCAATTTTTTGACGACTATTTTGAAAATCCACTCCTGTATTCAATAAACTCATGCTTTAATGATTATTTTATATTTCAAGTATATTTAATATAACATGATGTTTAATCGGTTAAACAACCAAATTTAATCGATTTTTGGTTTAATTACTTTATTAGCAAATATTAACCACACTTGAAGAGACTAAATTTACGTTTAAGCTTAGAGATAAACTACTGGTATGTTCAATAATATTTTATCAGAAAAAAGCTAAACTAACTTTTAAAAGTTGTCTACTTGTTAAGTAGTTTGAATTTATCGTGATGGATTACTAATTATGGCGCCTGAAGGCTAAGAAAAAGTTGTTGGACTTTAAGTCGGATATCTATTCTCCTACTAAGTATGACATTTGCGTTCCTTACGCTCCTTGGCCTTTGCATTTCCCAGTTTGTTTTTGTAACTCATAATGTAAATAATAAGGAATAAATTTAAAGTTGAAACTGAGAAAAACCACTACTTTAAAAGTTCTGATAATCTGATTATCATGCATTTGAGCAGTAGATTGTGCCGTTTTCAACAGCATAAATAATCTAAACTAAAAACAATTAAGTGATTTATTAAATCAAGAATGGCAAAACTAAGAACTCATCATGTCTAGATACAACGGGTCTCTGGAAAGCCCGGGCCTGTAGGCTTCATCTATTTAGCCTACTAAGTAAACTGCCACTGGAGATGTTAACTGATACTAAATCTTGATTTATTAGATAAAGTTCAATTTTTGTAAAAAAGTTAGCTTCTGGTGAAATATTTTGTTGAATTCTTTGAAATATCATAGCATATATTCTCGTGCAACATGGCATCTGGTGAGATACATCTCCATTCATAACCATGAGTTTGGCTGCGTACAAACCTTGCATAATATAAGGAAGAGTAATTAGAAAGAGTTAGACTTTGACGTTGACACAAACGATCTCGAAGCTTTTGGACGGAGAGTTCTAAATGAGGAAATAATATAAGATAAAAGTTCAATCTATGCGATCAACACATTCAATGAATTCAACTTGAC